TTAGGGTTAGGGTACGGCATTGAGATAAATAGGAGGTTTTTATATAAAATGTTTTTTTTTTTATATATAACATAATATACATTGGATATAAGGCCCCGATCTCAGTTCTCGTACGGTTTTTGGGGTCCTGAACATTTTTACTTAGAGTACTCGATCCTGTTTACTTAGTACATTATTGAGATATTAGCATACTGGTTATCCTTAGTAACCATTGGCACAAGTTAAAAATGCCCCCAAAAAAAATATATTGAATAACTTTCGTATCTTAAATATACATATAAAGCCTATTAAGATACCAAGTTAAAAAATTTTTGCATTTAAAAACTAACTTTCACAAAAGTTTTTTATCGCATCATTTAAATCAACAGGCAAATAAATCTAGCAATGCGTTTAGACTAAAATATTGCAAAAAAAAAACAACTTTTTTTTATAAGACATAAAGCCTGTTTCTTGTACGTATAACTTGCACTAAGTTATGTTGTTCACTAAATCCGGAATAAATAGTGCTTATTTCCAGCAACGGCGCGAATAAGAAGTAAATCCCTGTAGTGGGAATAAGAGTGATATGATGTCGTGACGATGTTTTACTATCATTATACAGGGTTTGGCTATCAATTTCGGACACCCTTATCAAAATGTACCCACATCAAATAATAAAAATCAACAAGTATAATATATTTAAGAGTAGGTGCATTCTTGATAGGGGTGTCCGAAATTGATGGCCAAACTCTGTAATTACTATAAGAATATTATAATTTATCGCTATACTGTATCAATATCCTAAAAAAAAAAACTAAAAAATAATTTACCCGATACAGTAATATTTAATTTTAATACGTATTTAATTTTTAAAGTCATCCTGAATCATATTCTTAATTACTTTATTGTAGTATTATATAATTTTGTTCTTTTAATTAACCAATTTTTGCAGCTTTTAACATTTTCACTTTTTTCGAGATCAGAAATTATGACATAAGTTAGACGAACTAATTTTAGAATTAGTTTCAGAATAAAGAAAAGTTAGAACAAATTTCATCAATGCTGCAGGTAACAACATTGTTCTATTGTTGTTAATTATGAACCAATTTTTTTAATATGTTAACGTCTTCTCCGAAAAATGAATATGCTACTCTTTGGATGTAGGAAAAATTTTCCGAGTTAGGATTGATGTGAATCGTTTTTGCGGGAATGGGCTAAAGAGAAAGGATTCCGTGTAATTAAAGATCGGGTAAACCATAGTTTGACGATGGGCACTTATATGTACAGTTATGAACAGTACACTATGACTCGGATTCCAAGAAAAATAATAATTTGTTACGACTTGGGGAGAGAGACTTATGAACTGCGCTGCAAAGTTTTAGCTTTAAGCCGAAGCATTAGAGTATGAGGTATTTAATAAATGGGGTTAGTTTTATAATGGGAGGACAAATATTATATTTATTACGTGTGCTAATTGTTCTACTCTATTTACAGGGAAGTGATCCTTTATATACATTCTGTGATTATAAATTATGAGGTAAGGGAAAATAACTATTTACTTAGAAATAAAATAATGGGAATTAGCATGCTGTAGTAATTATTAATCGAAAAAGGAAGTAATAATTCGATAGCATTGTGATAATAAATAAGGTTAATAGCAAAATCCTAATATCGGATATAAAATTTTTTTACGTAACGTAACGTCTTCCCAACTCAAAAATTAGCACTGGCAAATTGCTATTTTCTAATTGTATAAAAGCTGCGAGAAGTTCGTGGGATTCTTTTCATTATCACTTTATATTTGTACGTAAACTTTATTGATAAAATTATATACTTCCATTTTTGAATAACATGTTACACTGCTATACAAATAAAAGGGCAACAAAGATTGTTTTTTACTTTAATGCTAATTTACTACTGACTTATAAAGGTATTGGCAGCACTAATATATATAAAATAATAGAAGTAAAAATCAACCAGAATACTTATAAATACTAATCACAGATTTTTACTTGTCATGTAAATAAACAAGTATATTCTAATGCATTCAGTAATAGAGGTCTTTTTCAAAAGGATCATAAGTGTAAGGATTTGCAAACAATCATGATTTAAATCCAATCCTCCATTCTCAAGCGCTTTTATCAATAGGTCAAAAAGGAATTAAAAGTTTAATTAGTAGAAAGTATTTTTAATCGATTAAACGTGCTTGTTATTAATAAGTTAGACATTTAATTTATTATGTTATTAAGAAAAAAATTTTGAATACTAAAAATAGTTAGAGTGTTTGTCATTTAGGTCAAAAAACTTTTTTGTATTGAATCATCAAAACTTTATACCATATAGCCGCGGAATAACGCTCATGGGTATTATTTCGAAAATCAGAACCCCCTAAAATAGCATATGCGGTCCCGAATTAACAACACCCATAAGCGTTTTCGAATTAACGCACATCTCAATAAAAGTAAAGAAACAAAATGTGCTCCAAAACTAGGTTTAGTATTAAGTAAGCCTACTTTCTTGCATTTAGACAAGTAAGTTTACTTAGTACCAAACCTAGTTCTGGTCCACTTTATTATGATTAAGAGGTACGATTCAAAAAATCGACACTTATTTCAAAATATCGCACATGGGTGTACTCGAAATAACGCGCAGGTGGGCGTTATACGGTAACTATTAAAGTAAATATAATTATTGTTCAAGTACTTTCAGACTTTTTTTATTCATTATTGACACTAATGTATTTGCTAAATTTTCAATACAATTTTAATAAACTATTTGAAAGCTACTCAAGCAATGATTGAGGACTTTATCTTGATCTATCAAAGCAATCGAACATTCATTTATCTATGCAAGCAACAATTGAGGTTTTTATCTTGATCTATTGAAGCAATTTAGGAGTATTTTGATTTTGTTCCATTATGGTTTGCTGTCAAACAAAGATACGTATTATTATTACTATAGTTGTTAGACGAACCTCGAGATTTCGCTGACGAAAGTCGAAACCTAGTTTCGACTTTTGTCAATTAAAATCTCAAATGAACGAAATGTTGAAATTGTCGAAAGGTGTCGAAACTGATGAAAGGTGTCGAAACTGATGAAAGGTGTCGAAACTGACAAAAGGTGTCGAAACTGGCGAAAGGTGACAAAAGGTAAAGAAACTGATGAAACTACAAAGGTGACAAAACTAATAGAAGATGATAGATGATGAAGCAGATAAACGTTATTAAAGATAATATGAATAAAAATAAATTACGAGTTATAATAATTACTAAAATTTTATATATAATAACAAGTGTAATTAAGGCTTTCTACATTTTATGTTCATAAAGGGCTATAGTTGTTAGACAAAACCTTTTTCGCAAAGTCGAAACCTCAAATTCCTTTGACGAAAGACAAAGCCTTGAACTTAAAATGACAAAATGTTATGCTCAAAAAGATGAGACCCTAATACATCCTCTATATATATAAAAAAAAAAAAAAACAATTGTTATTTTTATTAAATCAACTTAATTTATTCAGAGATCAGTATCCGAAGTTAGATTTATGCTAGCAAAAATAAACTAGTTTATTTTTTCTAGACAATACAAGGTTGGGTTGTTATAGACCAATTGAAATAACCTTGTCAAAAGCTATAGTACTTACTCATGGAATAACACAAATAACGAATTAAAAACATACTGGCACAAAATAAATTTGTAAAATCACAAAGTAAGCACCAAGGATTTCTCACTAGAACTAATACGTAGTGTACTAGTATAATACATTATAGAATATTCATTTCTAACTCATTTCAAATGCCTATTATATAATAAAATTTTTTGTAATCTTTTATTAGTTTATTTTTTTATACACATAATCAATGATTTTTAGCAATATTTATTTGTATATTCATCTTTGTTACCCTTTACAGTTTTGTTACCTTTCATCAGTTTCATCATTTGTTATTTAAGATTTTAATATGAAACTAGGTTTCGCATTTCATCAGTGCAGAACTTCGAAGTTTCATTTAACAACTATATAAAAGGCTATATAATTTATACTTAGATTGGTTTTAGTAAGAAGCTTAATAAAAAGGGATTTATCAATTAAGTAAATTAGCACAAATAAGAAATTAATAATAAACAGATTATTTTACATATTTCAGTGTTTTGATTAAAAAATAATCATTGTCTATTGGTTAAATTGACTTAAATAAAAGACAAATTAGAGCAGATAATAAATTAATAAGAAGTGCATTCATTGTTTATTATAACTATTGTTATACTTGTCAGTTAAATTATCATAATTCTCTATATTTTATATTTATTTAAATATTCGAGAGATGTTAATAGCTTATTTACCCATTTATAATTTCAAGCCAATAAATAGCTTTAGCATTAAATAGAAATAAAAAGAAAGCCTCAATAATAAATCATTGTTTTTTGGTTAAATATATAAATTTATAGGATTAACGGCTTTGCAAAAAATTGATTTTCATTAAATTTTTAGCAAGTGTACCAAAAGTTTTGGTGGTAACGGATTTTTTTTAGTAGGTTTGCTTTTTTTTTTTTTTTTTTTTTTTTTTTTTTTAGTGGGAGTACTAGGATTTCGACTTTTGTCAAAAAGATTTGAGGGTTTTGACTTTTGTCAGAAGAATTTGAGGTTTTGACTTTCGGCAGAGGTTTCGTCATTTAGGACTCAGGTTTCAATTTTTGTCATCAAGCAAAAATGGTTTCGTCTAACAACTATAATCATTACAATTATCAGCAAAGATGATGCTTGAGAAGTTTTTAAGTATTTATACAATCTATTATTGTGATGGATGCATTATTTAAGACCAAAATGCTATTAAAATGTGGATATGAGTTCATTTGCGGTAACTATAAATATATAAAATATTAATAAGCAATTTAACAGATTTTATTATTGTAAGCCTTCATAACAAATCTAAATAACATTACTATTCTAGTTGTTGATTTTTAATTAAAATCTTATAAAAATAGCTAAATTTTGAGATGAATTAATAGATCTAGCAAGCAAGTTCAACTATTGGGCAAATCTTTATTTTGTATGGCAGGTACAGAGTATTGCGATTTAGCAGAAGCATTTAGCATTCCATTTGTCGCTTTATTTGGTGAAGTGCTGCTTGTTGCGTACTGATTAATAGGATACAGCAAAGCGGAATGAGAATTCATTATAGCTGTAAATCTAGGTGATGAACCTCCATTAATCTTGGGTGAACTTTTTGTAGAAGTCACAAGGCTTTTTAAATAGACGCAATTGATATTGATTTATTGTCTGAATTTAAAGTAGACTCAGGAGTTTCTGATGATCCAGTAAATACATTAGAGACTAACGTATTATCTGCAAAGGTTGAAACAGTTGGTATTGATATAACTTCTTTGATTTAGTAACAATGCCATTTGTCAGCTTTATAACATTTGTGTTAATACTATTCTTGGTTTTCATGATACCTTTAGAAGTACTATTCACAGACCTTACAATATTCATACTTCTTGCATTATTACAGTAGAAAATTTTTTAATAGATTTCAAAGTAATAGCACTATATCATTTAATAGTCACAATAACTATATAATAAAGAATATAATCAAGATTTATAGAATTAATGTATAATACTCATTAAAAATTAAATACCAACCTTTGGTTTATCCTTCAACACCAGTGCTTTTTTATTCAAAACTATTTCAAGCTCACTATATAGATGGCTTTGGGATTATTATTTGTAAAAATTATTGTAAGCAATTAAACTTCACTTATAGCTCTATTAGTAATAACATTTTTTTTTTTTTTTTTTTATTCTTTGACAGGTCTTGCCGTGACTTGACCTCTTAGTTTTTTAGTACATTTAATTTATATATATTTATTTCTAAGACTAACTAAAAGCCCGACTTCACCCGGTTGCCTATATAGGTACCTAGGTGCAACCCATCGCACTAGCTTACGGATAAGCTAGAAAATGAACTCTTTTTAAGAGCTTGTCCAAAAGGGGTTTACACCCTTTTGTA